AGATAGACATGCTTGAAGTGCATTTCCCCACAACTCCTAAATGAGAACTGTGATTTTCCCTAATTTAACACACGGTTGAGAGTACTCCATTCCACAATCTTCTGTAAATCTTCATTCTTTAAGGGGTCAAAGTTCTTCTGAGACAGAGCAAAAGGTAAAAAGAACACAATATTCTGTTTCAGTAAAAGAGATGCTGAATTCAGGATGTCATTTTGAACTGGCCTTTTTAAAGTTGTTTTTGATTTTGCTGCAAGACTGTTGTTCTCAGCCTTTTATTCCAGACTAATGTGAATGTTTTAGAAAATATACTACATATGATAATGCAACATTGACAAGAAGCTGGAACTTCATGGATTGTTTGTCTGCTCCATCTCCACTTATTGTAATTCTATAAGTTTATTTGCAACCAATGCTGTTAACTGCCTATTCACACAAAATGTGTGGGTGAGGTGGGGAAGGGGAGATAATACAGACATGGCATATTGGATAAAATGTATGGCCTGTTTCAAATATTTTTACACCTATATTTACCAAAATAGTTATTCAAACACTAATGGTATATTAAATGATACACTTAGTGATGCATGAGGAATCTAACAGGGTGTGAAAATCTGATGGATTTTCATGTGTTGATCTTTAAGACTTCAGCTTACTAGCCCTGTGCTGATGCTGACACACCATGGTACAGGTTGAGCCAAATTGTGGATTTCTATCCATGGGCTGCAATTTGCACGTTTTAAGCAGCCAATGAAAACTGCACAAATAAAGGACCCCAAAGCACATTGGTTTAATGTGATTAGTGCAGAATTGGCTGATTTGCACAAGTTATGGCTCTCAGTCAGCCAATTTTGCACAAATTGCACTACAGCCATATCATTTCAGGAGTCTATTTGTACAAAATTGGCCAATTTTTTGCAAACAGCAGGTACTAACTTAGTTTGCTTATGTGCGCAAATTTCACAAGTGGTTAAAATGCTAATTATGCTCCATGTTAGAGATGGGAATCTGCAAAAATCTCTGCCTTGGCCAGCTTCCAATCACTGGATTGGAAGCAAGTAGAGAATTCCATCAATCTTAAACAAGCCTATTTCAATATATTCCTAGATTCATTTTTGAAATGTTATACCTACTGGTATACCTACTGGTTAGTTGGGATCAAACAAGCTACCCACAATGACAATCCACTTTAGATTGGCTAGTTGTGTATAATGTTATGTACGTAGTAATGGCTGAGGTTGGAATGCCTGCCAATAAGCAACTTATAAACAACCATCAAAGCACGGTTTGCATTAACCATACTTCAGTTGCTTGTCTGATTTTATTCACCATCCTCTCAGGTCCATAAGCACACTTCCCTTTCCATGGTGCAGCACTCTTTGGGTGTAGAGCAAAGGCTGTGACTGAAATGCGTGAATCAGTCATCATGTGAAATCATAACCGGCACAAACCATGATTTGCAAACCCACTTCAAACCATGGACTGCCATGCTTTTATCCTGGTCAATGCACAATTGTCCACTCAGACATCACAAAAGCTAAAGTACCTTAAGCACCATTTGGTGTGATATCTGAATTTAGCCTATGAATTCAGAACTCAGACTGAGAATTAGATCTTTGAACAAGCAGACAGCCTCCTATCCCCACAAAACCCAAGGTATCTGCAGTATTACCTATTAAAATGCATAAACAAACCTCTCCTTCTAGAACCAAAGTATTAAAAAATGACATTCAAAAAAATGCTATCAGTATTCAGAATATGGAATGTTTTTGGCTGACTGAAATAATGCTTCCATTTGAAGGTAGAGGATTAAATCAAGACTAAGAAGGTAAAAGTAGTACAGGTGCTCATTCATCTCAAAGGGAAGGCTCATAAGAAACAAAGAAAAATATGCTTTAAAATTACTTGAAAGCTTTTGCTCATAACTAACGTATCTCACCAGTCACATGAATTCTCTTTTCTAGCCTAGCACCTATGACTGTAAAATCTTGCTCTGAAGGGCAGAAGACAATCTTAACATGGGTGACCCTGTACAGGTTCTGTTCAACAGCCATCTCTAATTTAAGTGGCTGAAAATACGCAGATCTAGCCTGCTTGGTTTTAAAATAAAATGGCTAGCCGCCTGATATTTATAGCATGCATTCAGACTTGCAGAAATCCATCTCCTTTCATCCTATCTGTGATATAAACTGCTTTAAGCTCTATAAATGCACTTTCAGTTTATGCATTCTGTATAAGCCAGGCACCAAATCAATAGTATACAATACCAGAGGGAAACACCACTTCCAATGACAGACACTATTGGAGCATTAGAGGAGTTTGCACACAAACCAGGTCTTTCTACTGCTAAAGTATTGGTCCAGGCTAAGAAATAAATAACAATAAATTATGTACTGTAGGATAAACTAAGTTAAATAGTAATATACACCTATCTTAAATTACTCTAAGTTTAGCCTACTATAGAGCCTCTACTGTGAAGACTTAAAGTCGGATGATTTATCTTCATTTAAAATTAAGCTTTTCATAGTAGCAAGTAATGTATCTACTCTGTTATTCATAGTGCGTAGTTTAGCAATTCGCTTACAAATCTGCCCCAGGTTTTGTTAACATAAACATTTGATGTTAGTGCTACAACCATTTAACCTGGTAAACTGCCACTGCAATAAAACTGTGTTAGAAGTTGAATTACCAGAGCCAATGCTACAAGCAACAGTGCTGATTTTTTTCCTTCTAGAGCTGTTTGAATATTTCCCTACTTCAATTTGTGGGCTGAAAACAATGGAGGGGACAGGGGTTGGACACACAGCCTGAAAACAGCTTGAATTGTGAGAATATTCACCCACTTTTTAAATCTTGCCCGCTACCTTTGTTTTTCCTGTTACTCCACCGCCACTGCTCTTGTTACTGCTGCTTTCTTGTTCCTGGATTATTTTGCATGAGTGATTCCACCAACCAGGGATTGTAAAGAGGATGATAGCATGATGCTAGGTAACCCAACATATCTGAATACATGCCAGCTTCACTGAGGGCAAGCAAAGCCAACTTTCAGAGGCAGGGCACAGGACAAGGTAACATACCATAAACTGGTTAACATTTTTTCAGGCATTGCTGAAAAACAGCTGAACAAACAAGGGAATATTTCAACAGTACTGAAAATTTTCCTGGAATACAGTTAGCAGTTTCAGCTCAGCCCTATTTACTCTCCCATTTTGAATCAATACAAGAACTCTGTGTGAGTCCTAAGGGTATTAACTATCTCTCTACATGGAAAAATAATCCTCCAGTAAAACTGCATTTAATACCTGGTGAGAGTACATGAGTCACTGCCTGTGCTAACCCAATGCCATGAAAGAAATAGGAAAATAACATGTTGCATTCTAGACTGTGCATTCAACACTGTATTGAGCACTGCTACGATATTAACAAATGTTTACTGTCACAGTATACATAATGTGCACATAGGATATTTGTAAAGAGAAAACATATCATATTCTGTTTTCAGCAAGCAGCTGATTCATCCATACCGGCAAAGTATTGAATGCAGGAAAGGAAATAAGCCCGTATTGTACCTTGACAGACAATGTGGAGTCAACGCCATCCACTTTCATATAGCAATATAATACTGTCCAGGCTTGTAGTATGATTATGTCAGTAAATGCACAGGCTACAGGGTATTTGTTAACATCAACATCACCAAGCAGATTGAGGTACACTTGTACTGATTTAAGGTGGGACCAGCAAAAGCAGCCTTGGAAGTAGAGAAGGTGAACCACTTACAACATAATCCATTTCTTAACAGTTCTGCAAGCCCAAACCAGAGAAGGAAAATGTATCAATCATTAAACTTGCCTTCAGTTGCAGCTGGAGTAGGTTCTAGCTTCCCTCATCTGAGCTTTCCTTGTAAACAGCATTGCACATTACCAGTGGATTAGAAATCGTATGCAGATGAAACTTAAGCCCTAATCTAATAATTTTCTCAGAGTAATTTCTTAAGAATTAACCTCACATTCCTTTGACTTTTTTCACTGTAACAATCCAGCATATTTTGTACATCAAGAAAATGGGTGTTCTCTTCCTGTTTGCATATGCATTACTCCGCCTACTGGAAAAGGCCTGAAACTCCCCATACCCACAACTTTAAGGGTTGTTATTTTATTTCCTCTCACTTAATCCAAGTGTGATATAGTCATTTCTTTTATTAGGCTCAGAGGACTGGGGAGACCTGCATTCCACCATCATCTTCACAACAACACAGCCTACCTGCATTTCATTTTCAGTGCCAAGACAATGATTCTCGCTTGCTACATTGTGACAACTTTCCATCTCTGAGGATGTTGCCTTTCCCAGCAAAGACACATACATGTCATGAGCGTGCAGGTGTCATACATGCAAAGTTTAAAACAAGATTCTTTGGGGAGAATTGTTATACCAGATTTGTTTTAAGATGCTGACAGCAATTGCTAGAGCTAGGCTGCCGAAACATCTAAAGCTTGGCCTTTAATAATCACCAAAGTAATATAGCGCCAGACCACGTCTGGGCAGGGACTCCCAATAGTGTCAGATTGTGTCAAACTGCAGGATTGTTATGGGATGTGAGCAAATGTCCACACTTGTTTTACCCAATCAAATCTGAATTAGGCTTTAGATGGAAGCCTCCTGTGTGTTAACCCACTGGCCTCCCTGTTATTACCACCACCACAGACCTTCACACTTGAAGGCTAATTTTAATTCAGCAATTTGAGTTGTTGCTGCAGATCTTTCTACCCATTCTCCCACTCTCCCTTCTGATGATCCTTATTTGAACTTTTAGTCATGAGAAGTACAAACAGGAGATGCACACACCATGCAGATGTACAACACACACAAATATACAGATGTGGTGGAAATTTGATTACACAGCACCATGGGGGTGTTGAACTTTATGTATACTTTACTAATGAAACAAGCACAAAATTACTGGTGCAAGCTCTCACAAGAGATGAGAAACAGGAATACAGTCCAACCTGCTTTAGCCATGCTTGGTATCCAGAAGATGTAAGTTGAAATCCATCTTTAGGCATGTGTATTCTGGGCTAGGAGAGAATAGACACAAGAGACCTCCTTTTACATTGGGACCTGGCTAACCTAACCATTTTTCCTAGGTGACATTAACACCAAGCACATTCTCACCCATACGTATGACTGATCCCTCAGAGAAACCACAAGTATGTTATTGCTCTAAGTAACTTAGAATAACAGAATTGTAGGCACAGAATGATTGCAAAGAACATCTAGATCACTTCACACAGGGTTCTGCATAGCTAACCATCCCTAAAGGATTAACCAACAAAACTATCATTTTTAAAGCCTTAAAAACATAGAGGATATGTTAAGGGAAATATGTGAACCCCCCCCACCCCCATGTACTTTTTGTCTAGTCTGACATGGACACACTCAAGTAACCTCCTGTTATTCACAGATCTGCTGTAAAGGCCCATTAAAACTGTTTGATAATCTCTTAGAAGCTGTCTGAAAGGTAAGAATGCTGCGGGCTCTATAAATGTGATACCTGTACCTAGGTATTTGGACCACTGTGTCAGGATTGCTGGAATGGTGCTAGTGCACAGGTGTTCCAGACCATATGTCTTAAGAATGCAACCTATTACCATCCCATTTATTATTGAACTCTGAGAGTAGCTTTCTAGGTAAGGTGTGGCACACAGCAGACAGAAATTGGAAGACACACCTGCTATATAAAAAGGTGAGTTTAGTTAAATAATAATATACAACAAGAAGCTTCCTACTTATTACCAAAAATAGCAAGAGCCAATTCAGAATATAACCAGGAAAAGCTTTAAGAAGTTATCATCTTGTCCAATTCCCCTAACCATTTCTGTGTTAAACTTGTTCCATTCTTCTTCCAAGGAGAAAATAATTGGAATTAGAATTTCCTGGAAATCTCCTGTCTTCCGACCAATGGTGCCTAGGCCTGCTTATGACCAACTCTGAACTATATATTGTATACATTATAGTTATATATTATAACTATATAATTTTCTTCCTCTAGAGCTTTCTCTAGTCTTCCAGTAATACACAGCACTAATAAGAGCACTGATAGAGAAAGCATCTTTCTCTGAGCTAAGTAAGAGAGGGGAAACACACTGTAAAAATGCCAGGACTTTCAATACTGTGGTATCTGCTCATCTAGTGTCAAGACAGCCTTCTCACAGTCAAGTGGAATGGACAGGAAACTGTTGTGCAGTAGATTTGGCAATGGTGAATATATTCCTCATGCTTTTGGATGTGGAATTCCAAATTGCAGCAGATGTCATGGTATCAAAGTCAGTCCAGTAGTTTTTAGAATTAATATCCCATTGACCAGGATAGCCATATGCACTATACTTAAGAGGAATCTGTTGCGTTTACAGGTGAATGCCATGTCCATCCATGTGACTTTATCTTCATACGGTTTCATAGTGAGACAGTCTGAACTCTTAATTGGTTGCTCAGGTAGTGGGTAGAGGACAAGTAGCTCTGTGGGAAGACAACCTGGATTCTTTACAGCTTTTTATGAAAAAAGCTGTCCCTAAAAGGTAGGTTTGCCTGTCTTTAGTGACCTCCCACTACAATTCAGAGCCACCAAAGTTTATGGCCCTGGAGCATGCCAAACACCAAAGGGTTTGGCATGCTCCAGGGCAACAGTGAGGCCCAATAAGCCTAGCTAAAATTCCATGTGAACTGAGTGCAAATCATGGAATATGCTCCAGAATCTTCTACATTACAGAAAGCTTATGCAAAGCTCCCCCTTCTATAGAATGAGTGTCAAGTGCCCTTCAGGTCTCAGCTGTACCATAAAGTCACTTTGTGGACACTTCAGATCCCCATATGTAATTAAAGTCCTACTTCACAGAACTATTCTTAGGATTTCTGAAATGATGTACATGCAGAACCTTAAAATTCCCATGAAAAGCACAAATGGTATTATAACTAGGCTATCTTAAGACAGGAATCTGCCTTATACCAAATCAAACCAGTGTTCCATCTAGCTCTGTGTTGTCAATACTGACTGGCAGCAGCTCTCCAGGGAGGGTCTCAGGCAGGGGTTCTTCCAGCCCTTTCTCAAGGTACACAGGTCTTAGGTTGGGTCCTTCTGCATGTGCTTTACTACTGAGTCACAGGCACTCCCCAACAGCAGCAACAGCTCTTATTTTAAAGGCTTTCCTCTGCATTCTGTACCATCACAGCTTCTCAGAATATAGGAGTCATCAAATTAATTAAGTAATCAGGAGTCCTCAATTATGACAGTACACAAAAGAGATAGCAACTCAATGGAATTTATTCTTGTTAAAATATTCATCTCCATTTCTGTTTATTTGTCATAATTATAGCTCAACTTTTCCTCAAAGCAGCCCAAGGAAATGTGCATGTTCTACCTTCTGTCCATGTTATCCTCACTCCATCTCTGTGAGGAAGGTTAAACTGAGGTCAATAACAGGCCCAAAGACACCACTAAGTTCCATGATGGAATGATTTCCCCAGACCAGCACTCTAACCACCACACCATACTGGCTCATGTTGACCACCATTCCATGGACCAGTGATGGCGAACCTTTTAGAGACTGAGTGCCCAAACTGCAACTCAGAACCCACTTATATATCACAAAGTGCCAACACTGCAATAAAACCTGAATACTGAGGTTTTAGTTTAGAAGAAAGCAACTCATACATTAACATCTTTTGTCTTAAAAGAAAAACACAGTAACAGAGAGAAGGAGCCATGTTCACGTTCAGCACCCCCAAGTCGGGGGATGCCGGGCTTGCTTGTGCCTGGGCGTGCGCACTCCCTCCCTTCCTGCCCCGAAACCAGCCACTGGGAATGCCGCAGGAGCTTTGGCGGCGCTTGGAAGTTTACCAGAGGGACGGAATGGGGTGGGGGGGGGGGAGAGACCTAAACTAAAGGTGAGGAGAGGCTATCGCTGATACCTTCCATGCTTTCACTGGTGAGGGGGGTCATGTGGGGAGGGGGGTCCCTGCCACACGCCCACTCCTCTCGCTTCACAGCAGTCCCAGCCTCCACTTTTCCTCGTTTTGGCCTTCCTCCCCAGGAAGCGCCACATTGATCCTGGGCACCCTCTCTCTCCTCCTCGCTCCAGCTGCTGCACCGCCACCTCGACTCCGTCCCTTCCCCCAGCTTCCCTTCCCCCAGCTTCCCTTCCCCCAGCTTCCCCACGCCCCCCAGCCACCGGCATGGGAGCCCGGCCTGGGAGCGAAAGCGCAAGCAGGTGGGCACGCAGCTGCCTGGCTGCCCCTGTGGCTACCGAGTCGACAGGATCCTGCCACTGCACTAGGAGGGCAGCTTGGGAGCCGCTCACATGCTGCAGGCCAGGAGGAGGAGGAGGGCGCAGCCGCCAGCGCTCAGCATGCCCGCTTGCTGCTGGCCGCTCCCTTCCTGGAGACTAATAGTGACGTGTTACCTGGCGCCGTTACTCTTTCTGAATATGTGCATGGCTGCTGGGGTGATGCTGGGAAGGCTTGGCTCGCATGCCAACAGAGAGGGCTCTGTATGCCCGCTGTGGCACACATGCCATAGGCTCACCATCACTGCCATAGACTAATATATTCAATAGTTGGCACATATTCTGGCACTAACTTCTGAATGTTATGGACACTCGAACATTTGCACACACACCACAAATGCATTAAACAAGAAAGATCATACCATACACTGTCAACAGAAAGAGCAGAACACTAAATTCTAGTGCTAACTTCACTTAAAGGTGGTGGGATGAATAGACAGAGATTTTACATTGCATCCCATTATTTGACGTTGCAAAGTTTCAGAGCCATGTTAGAACCTAAGTCAAAGTTAACGATTTTAGAAGTGATGCTCTGACCCAAGGCACATGGCTCACTGATGCAGCTTTAAAATCCTGTCACCCTAACTCTTTAACCTAGCCCACAATCTCTCATGCATATGTTTTAACAATTCAGATCATGCATGTGAGGTTTATCACTTATATTAAACTCTCATATCTATTTTCAGAGATTTGTGCTAACAATAACCAATATAATTCTTTGGCTATTGGTATACAAAAAGCTAATTGAAAGCATTCCATTGAAGTTTTACAAGCTCAATTTCCAACACCATTCAATCTTTTATCCAATCTACCAAACTCCTACCAAACCCCTATTAACAGCTACCAAACTCCTATCCTATAATGCAAGGCAACACAAACATTGCTTTAACTATGTTATCTACTTCTAGGGCTTCCTTCTTAACCATCTTCCTCCTACAATGTATTAGAGCCATTAGCTCATTCCAATTTCATACTGGCCATCTTTTCTCCTGCAATCTTTAACCTACTTTTTGCTTTATTGCCTTCCTTTACCCCTTCTTCCATTTTTAACTTAATGGATCCAAGTAGTCTCTAGTGAGGTCTGAAAAGGCTGTTTTCTCAGAATGAGTCAATATTTTAAATGCTATAGAATGCATTTGTTTTCCCCCTAAAAACACTACCACCAAATGCAGCCTTTGAAAGACAGACATTAAATTACAGGCCTTGGTTCTTACTTTCTAAGCCTAATACAACCCCTGAAGGCTTACAATATTTGAATCACAGCTGGAGTCGTGGTTACCATACAGTTTAAATATCAGCATCTTTACTGTGCAATTTGTTTTAAAAATCAAATCAGAGGCTGTGTCATAAACAAGTGCTAATTAAGTAGCAAGCAAGTATAAGCCTTTCTGTGCAAGAAAGGTTCTTAAATATTTGTCTCTCCACTCTCATAAGAAAGGATAAATAAAGCCAGCTGGGGAAATTATGGACCCAAACTAGCACAGGACATAGAACACCAACAATAAAAACGTGGCTGGCATTAAGCCACTAGTGTTCTTCATATGAGAGTCAGGGGGCTACAGATTATGAAAAATATCTTGCCTTAGGTGAAGAATGCCACGTTAGCGTGGCAATGTGAGCTTGATCACATAATTCTTTAAGGGTATATGCCTATTCCCATTCAGCTACTCTGCTTCAAGCCACTCAGTTCTGAAACAACAGAAATCAAATTCCTTTTGGTACCACAGTACTACCGC